CAGTAGCACAACCACCAATGACACATGTACCACCACCAAATTTAATTTAAACATGTAAAGCAACCTAACATGCTCAAATAGTTAACATTTGAGTTCAAAGTGAAGGCGTGCCATTTATGGGGACCCATCAGTTACACCGACTCTGTCACCATGTTCCAAATCCATCATCGTCGAATCTGCCAACAACTACAAGCAATAGCTTTGATTAATTGTTTCACATGACAAATTTTCAAAATAAGTTCACAAATATGAAGCCAAATCCAGAAAATGACAAGTAATTTTCATATTTTATCTCCACTTTATGAGCAATCATATTTTTTTTATCATCATCAGAATGTGTGGATTCTCCTGGAGAACTATTATATACCAGATACACTAGTGCAGATTCGGGTGTTCATGAAAACTTTAGCTTCAAGTGTCCATAAATTACGAGTCATATCTTGTTCACAGTGTCCATAAATTAGCTCGCATTGAGGAAATGAGAGAACCACCGCTGCCGCCGCCACTACCACCATCCCCATCGTCTACAGCCGCTGCTGCCACGACCTCCACTTGCACCACCAATAAAAACTTCAACAACTCATCACCCGCTCATCATTGCCAGATCCACCACACTAACATTACTACGCTTACCGTCGCCAGATCCAACATTACCGCCGCACCTCTACCTGTACAACCAACAAAAACCCCCAACACCACCAAAATCGCCCCAAACTAGATATGTCAACGAGTCGAGCTGAACCGAGCCCGAGTCCAAAAAAAAGCTCAAACCGAGCCTGAACCCGACCAAAAAAAATTAGGCTCGGCCCGAGCTTTTTGGCCAGAGCCGAGTCGGCTTGAATTTTTTGGTTTTTTTCTTAGGCAGGCAGCTTGCTAGTTGTCTTCAAAAAAATTTTTTTAGCTATTATAAATGAGGTACACGCCCACATATTATAAATGAAATTAATTTTGAAATGTCATTTTATAAGTTCTGGTTTTGTGTTAATTAAAGATGGATTTTTATTGTTTTCTTTATTTTGAATTTTTTATATGAATTTATAGTTTTT